AGGATCTGAAGGGATGCAGCAACACCACCATACATGGTCTGAGCTGAGCAGATACAGCCAGAAAGGCAGCTGAGCCGAACGCTGCGACTCTTGTGGCAGGAGAACTTTTAACAAAAAAAAAATATAACAAAACAAAGCAGCAACTGCCAAGGACCTTGGCTGAGGGTCCCGGGAGAAGACACGGCCTCCACTCCTGGGAAAGTGTTGTGCTGTGTATTTGCTGTAGGTACATTATGGATGCTCAAACAAAGCTAGCGGAGAACACTCCAGATGTGCAAGAAACATTTTCCTCCATGCATCCAACAACCCACGTCATGTTCCATCCCCACAGCACAACAGCCGAATGATCTACAACGAACCAAACGTGATATTTTGTCTCCAGGACCTCTGTGGGAAGGAGATCAGGTCTGATGTCAGATGTATAAAGAGCAGAACATTCAAGCTTGTTACACAAGCATCTAAAGTGCAGTTATCGGCGGGTGGCTGACGTAATTCGAGGGGATTCTGTGCTTAATCTCTTGTTATTCTCTTTCCAAGCAAAATTTCTTAATCTCCTTCTGGCTTTCGCTTCTCATGGGTAATAAAGATTCTGTTGTTTATCCTTGTTCATAAAGAAGTCCCACAGTTAAACAGCACTTCACAACTACTGTGAAGTGCAGAGGGAGAGGCAGGTTTCTTTCTCAAGCAAACCAACCGTTTCACCTAATTATGTTAATTAAAATGACAGGGCACACAGGCCATCAAAATGAAGTCGTTTTTCTGGGTTCACAGGTCCACTGAAGACAAGAGCAATGCTGCTTCATCGCACCTTGTCTTCCAAAAAGCAGTATTTTACCGAATCACTTAAGCAAATGCCAAGAAAACAGGGGAACAGATTTAAAAGCTGTGCTGCCAAAACTGTTCAATGGCAAACTGAACAAGGTGGCACTAACTGTGAGAAACATTGGTGACTCCAGGAGGGTTTTCTGTTGGTAAGAGTTTCACATGGGACAGTGGGCTGAAAAACTCATTTAACTGTTAGAAAGCTGGTGTTGGAAGCATATGCACCAAAGCCCAAAGAATCAACTGTGTATCAAATCATACAACTTCCTTTTAGCCAAAGATGACAGACCTGGGAATGAACACAGCACAATATTAGGTTGAAAGAGAATTAAAATTAATTATAGGACAATATTTTCCATCACAGCTCTTCCCCTGCCACATGTCAAAAAAGCTGTACAGTGTTTGTATCTTAGCGTTATTCACAATATATTGCCCAAAAGACATTATCGGTCCCAAATTAAAATCCTCCTGCTCATGGCTTTCTGCAGCAGTTGTAATTCTGTGTGCAGATGAAAATGGAGCAAGAGCAACCCAAAAGTCAGGGAGACACGGAACAAGGCAATAAATTTACAGAGAGGGAGCAGAATCAGCTGCAGATCAGTACCATAGTGCTGCAGAGCCCAGGGATGTGCTAAGTTAGGCTGCTCCAAGGTCTGCCCTTTATAGGGAGACACATTTAAGGGCACAGGTTTTGTACAATGCATAAGAGGTAGATGGCAAGTGACAGGCTGCTTATTCCAACTTTACCTCTAGGGCAGTCTTCTAAACACTCGCTGGTAGCACAGCTCCCTCGTGCTGGAAGGAAAGAGCATCAGAATGAGGTCCAGAGGTGACTAATACTGCTAGCCAACTTCTAACACTGCCTTTACAACACACACGAGATTGCTCCTGACGTGTCTCATCTTCACTTGGTAACTCATGCCTTGAAGACTCTGATTCCTGGAGCAAGGAATGGTGTCGATCCGCACGGGGAGAGTCCTTGTGAAATTTTTGTACCATTTCCAAGGAAGAATCTTTTAATCGTGGTCTGCAGAACTACTTGTTGCTGATCTGTGCCAAGCTGAGGGTCCCACGGGGACAGACGTCCTGGTTCTTCACATGTGGTAAGGAACAGAATTCGCTGCTGAGAGCAAGTCTGTTCAACAGACACGGTAAGATTTATGTTAAAAGAACTTGTTATTTCTCCTTTTAAGTAGCTGTTGTCTGAATCCCACTCAAAAGACAGGCTCGGCGATGACCCACCTTGAAAGATGCAGTACGTGACAAGTTTGGGATATGCTGCTCCAAGGATCTTAGGAAAAACAGCACCTCATACAAGCGATATAAATAAAGCACAATGTAACAGACATCTAACAAAATACAGTGGAAAGGATTCATGTCTTTCCAGGCACTAGAAAAGATAGTCTGAAATTCAGTCACACGAAGATAAAACTGACTTGCCAGATACTTATAAGATCAGTAAGGCAGAAGAAACAAAAACCCATAATTAGATTATTTATGCTCAGAAGGATAAACATCTAAATTACATTCTTTGGGAATAAACATAACTTGAAAAAACAGTACTGGAAGGGCAGCAGAGGTGTGGATGCTTCAGTCATTTAAAAGGAAGGAAGAACCCAATTGCGATTTTTTTTCTTTTAAGATAAAAACCATGAGAGATTTCTGAATGAAAAGCTAACAGCAGTGTAATATTAACACAAGAGCTTTTCTGAGTTTTGTAGAAAACCAACCAACGAACCAACCAAAAAAAACCCCCAAAACCAACAATTTAATTCAACAGGATCTAAAAAGAAACATACACCTCCTGGTTGCAAGTGGGTAGGACAATCAATAAATTTCTTTAAAATACATTGTTGCAGGGTTTCCTTATCCCAAAGAAAGTGACTTCTTAGCACCCCACAGTTACTGCAATTACAGGCAAGTCAAACAGATCCCCCAAATGCTCCTTAACAAAATGAAGGCCACTAAGATACAGGCTTTGTCCATAAATAAAATAAAATAAAAACTTTTTTAAAAACTGAAAATGATAAAAAAAACATGCTGATCAGTGACTGTTGATGTTTCTAGCATGTAAACACACTAAACAGGAAAAAAAGGAATCAAACTGGGTGCAGCAGCAACGTGGGAGAGCATGGAGGTGAATGGGCAGGCACTTTTGTAAGCTACATTTTTAAAACGATTCTCAAATCTCTTCACCAAAAGAACTCCTTCTGGCTAATTAAAGGCACCTGATCCAGGACAGCATTTTCTCACCACTGTGATAGGTGGTTCAACCTCTTTCTGCTGAAGAAACCCCAAATCGGCCTTGTCTGCAGAACGGAAGCCTCCTGGCAGTAGATTTCTTTTAAATGCAGCATTCGGAGACCCTCACAGTGGTGTGTGCATTACAGGCCAAAATGCACTGCTATGTGTGCTTAAACTTCACTGAATCACTCCGAACCAGGCATTTTTTTTCCAGCCTTGTTTGGATCTAACTCAATCCCAAGGGTCCAGGGTCCGTCACCATGACCAAGACTCAGGATTTCACATGGAGTTTGGCATTGGTAGGGTGCTACTGATGTACATGGAGGATGCAGTTAAGCTCCAAGCAAAAACGAACACACCAAAGAGACAGTTTTAATTAAAACTGATTCTATAATCCAGATTTCAATCTGACTTCTTCAGCTGTCAAAGCAAGGACGCTTATGCTAGCTTTGACTTTTTGATGTGGGGAATAGCTTTATAGCTGGATTCATGTGCCTTGGTACTGTTGGATTTTAAATTAATAGAGAATGGAATTTCTCGTATAATCTGAGCATTTCCCCTTATGTCAAGAAGATTAAGACCCTCAGAGCATCAAAAGCTGATGAAAATTGCATAGCACAGCAGCTAGGAGGCCCACAGACAGGCTCCAATAGTGAGCCCAAAGTCTGGAGGATAAAAACCACGGCCTCTGATACGAGGTATATTTTGAAAAAAAGTTAGTTCAGTGTTTTCTTTATGCTTAGTTATTAACTTTGATTGCATGGGTGAAAAAGAAAAAAAGAAAAAAGAAAAAAAAAAGCAAAACCCAGCGGGTTTATCCCCAGTGAAAACCTAAAGGTTTTAGAAGCGACGGTCATGAAGAGTCAGCTCAAACTTTCCACAGAGTGACTGTGTCATGGAAAGATGAAGAAGGAAAGAGCTGTCAATTACATTTTGGGGTATCCTCAATATAAGTCCTGTTTTTTACTCTCTGTTCAATATTTCCAGATAAGGTAACGCTTCAGGAAGTCAGACCGATATTTTAAGACTTGCAAAATAAGGGAAAGACATGAATTCAAAGCTGCACTAGCATATTTTGAAGAGGTTGTAAATCTGTGGTAGAAATGGGATATGGGAAGAGAGAATGGGAGGCATAGAAGCAATAATTATAAGGAATAGAAGTGTTGTGTTTATACAGTCACCCCAAGGACCCTGCAGTCTCCTGATAGATCAACTACTAGTCAAAAATTAGGAATTAATGTTCCACACACCAAAAAAGAACCAGTATAAAGGTTTCTCCATCTTAAGTATCTTCTCCTGATCATACCCTGGAACATCCTCCACCACTTATCTCAGTTGAACTATACCGAGAAGGGAAGCCTAGTGCAAAATAAAATAAATGGCACTATGTATCCCAACCTTTTTGCTTAAAATATAATTGCAAATGAAGAAGCAAAATAGAATAAAGCCCTAAATCATTATATACTTCATTAACTGTATAAAAGTGCAAGTTTAGAGTAGTTCAGGTTAAGCATTCAGTTCACTATAGGCCACACCGGATGCCCAGCTTGGCCAGCAACAGCCCATTCTTATCATTCAGTTACTAATATTAGCTTAAACCACAGAAAGAACAACAACTGAATGAAAAATGTATGCAATCCACTTCATAAAATGGTTAGTTTTCTGTGACCAGCACGAAATATTAGCTTAGTATCATCAGCTATACAATATATACATAAAAATATTGTGTCTTAATCTTTTTTTTTCTTTGTTTTTTTTAAAACAACTTAGAATAAAACCATACTAAATGCTATTTCCCTAACATGTCAACTCTTCACTCTGGTCTGGCTGGGAGGCCAAGTGACAGCGAAAAGTCCTTTTATACCAGGGGTGCTTGAATTCATCCATAATTTTGACACTTCAGCTGTAGTAACTGTTGAGCCTCTCTAATTCAGCCAGGCTAGATGGTTCAATGCAGCTGCCTCCATCTCCATCAAAGTTTCTTGGGTGGCTCCACCAGAAGAACAGGCCATATTCCAAAAACAAACTGTTAAAAGAGAAATAGGGAAAGGGGAATGATTTTTTTGGAACAGAAATCAAATACCATTGACATAATTTCAAGCATATTTCTTGGGATCTGTGTAGAAATCAAAGACAGAACCCTAACAGGACAACCACTGGGCCCCAGTGCATGTTCTAACACAAGACATCTGAAAGCTATAGTGCATCAATGGACACAAAAAATTGGCTGTAGAAATCAAAGACAGAACCCTAACAAGGACAACCACTGGGCCCCAATGCATGTTCAAACACAAGACATTTGAAAGCTATAGTGCATCAATGGTCACAAAAAATTGGTTGCTTACCTTCACCTTTGGCCTGTGCTTCAGAAAAAGTGTCCTTGTGTATAAACTAAGGAAGAGAGGAAAGGCATGCTTCAGATTAAACATATAACACAATATATAAATAATAATGATGTACTACTAATTCCAGTTTAATTTTCCAACTAGAGAAAAAAAAAAGCTCTGTGATTGCAGGGATAGTCGTTCTACCTAGGACATATGAGCCTACAGCAAATCACTTAGTTCTGGACTATGAATAGCAAATGAATTTACCCTGCCCCTAGAAGAGAGAAACCCAGAAAAGTGAATTTGGGACTAGACGGGGACTAGACCTTGCCATTCTGGAAGGATGAAAATACATCAGTGTACCACAAAATGAGGCAGGGTTGCTCTCTGAGCAATCAGATGCCAGGAAGATGAAACAACCAAACCCCCAAACACCCACTATCAGAGCAGCTGCTGGAACTGTACTTATTTTCCTTTCATTTTCATTTTACTAGACAGTTTCTAAACTTATGCTTGATAACAATAGAAAATCTGGTATGTGATCAAGTTTTCTAAACCACTCAGAATACACCTCTTAAATAGGCATTATTTTATAGTTTTAGTTAAGTGCTAAAAGAGCTTTCATTACATAATGGATAAGCTATAGAAATTCTTCAGTTTTCACGGTAAATTCCAGTTTCAGGTCTCATGCCACTAGATGGTGCTACAGACCAAAAACAGAGCCCCAAATTGCTGATTTCTAAAACTGGTATCCTCTGTTTCTGGGAAAATCACCTCAGTTTCGACCACTTCACCCATCACTTTCCTGCTCTATAGTGTAAAATTTGCAAATTTTCATGAGTGACAGCTGCTATCAGAAAGATTAGTTAATACTTCTAAAGTTAAACAAGTGTAAGTGCTTGAGCATCGCTACACAAAAGAAAGGTGTTAATAACATATGTTTTCAAACCAACCTGTTGTCAAATATATTTTCAGTGTAATTACTACAGGGTTCCTGCATATGAATTGCATTGCCCTAAAGACCCAGGACTATTTAAAGACTGATTACATTTTGAAGAATACGTAAATAGTCTAAAAACTCACTAAAAATCATAAAAAAGAGAGAAATTCCTACCTCCTTCAGAAAAGAAAGAAATTTCCTACCTCAGGAGGATATGCAGGTAAGAGCCCAGGCCTGTAAGTATATGCCACCAAGCATGAAACTGTGTCACAGCTCCCACAACAGGAGGCATCTTCTCTCGTAGTGCCCTGCAGAAAGAAACGCCACAACGTGTGTTTTTCAAAGCCAAGCAATCTCAAAGAGCACTGTTTAATTGTCAGATCATGTGTTACCAGTTCCCTAAGACACCACTGATTCATTTTTGATAATTGTGTCACCTACTCTCCAGCTCCATTGGAGCTTTGCTTGCCTTTTTCTGTTGCACACTACACTGGGACAAAATGGGTGGATAGTGAGGAACAGAAGGTGAAGAGTTCAAAATGTTTTGCCAAAATGCTTAATCTTCTAACTGTTATGGAGAATGAGCTGCTCAAGAGGCCAGAAGATGGAGATGGAAAAAGAAAGGGAAGGACCTGAAATGCCAGTCCTTCCCCTGCTCGCTACAGAGTTCTGCTGATAATAATGCTGATTTTGGTTGATGGTGGAATACGTGTTCACACGTGACTGTCTTCTTTTTTGGCATATAATTCACATATGATCAGGCCAAAAGAGAAAGGGAAAATAGCAGTGACTGCAGGTTTCAAGGAAGAAAAATATGTAGCTGCTGTTAATAGCTATTTAGTGTGTGATGTTTTAGTGCTCATAACTGGGCTGCTACTGAGTTTCCAGTACACAGAGGAGGACACAGAGCCTCCAGTCACAGAGGAGTCCAGTCCTCCAGTCACAGAGGAGGACACAGAGCCACGATTCAGTCATCCAAGAATGACATACTGGAACACCAGAACTGTCACTCCTGGCACAGCCTCGTGGCATTTTGATGGCACAAAAACTCAAAGTTCAAGATTCAAAAGCTCATGAATCACACAGTGAAACCAAGTGCTACAGAGTTATCACTTTTTTTTTTTTAATTGGCTCCAGACTTTATGAAATGTGGAAAAACATAAACAGAATCCAAGTACAATTTTGCATATTAAAAACAAAAAAAGCAGGTGGGTGGATGATTCACAAGATCTTTAGAGAATAAAAAAAAAAATACATGGAACTGGAATTTATTTTCTCCAAAGGTTCCAGTTATAACACCACTCTGAGAAATTCAAAGGCTCTGCAGACATCTGATTAAAGCTAGTAAACAAGCTGATTTTCCCCAGCACCATAACTCAGCAAGCACAATAGGAATTATACTGACATGTTTTCCCTTTGCAGAACAAGGATGGAAAACAGTGTTTCAGCAGCTGGTGTAATCTTTGAGTCCAGAGCAACTTCTAAAGCCCCATGGACCTCCAGCAGCTCTACGAGCTGAGGGTTATGATCTCACCACTGCTCTGATGCAGCTGCAAAAATCAGCCCTGATGCCACAGTTTGCAAAGTCACTGTAAACCCACCCACTCGTGTTGGCAAATAACTTCATGCCAGTTCTATCAAGTGTTTCTTTAAAGCACTGTGTGCGATACTCATTTTTGGAAGCTTCAAGAAAACTCGTTTGCAATAAAGTTCCAATTGGGCTAACACAGTGCAAGGTTTACGGAGCCAAAAGGGACAGATGGGACACATTAGACTCCTTCCTTACCACACACTCTGATCTAAGGCTACACCAACCTACTAGGACCATCCTGTACCCCACAAGTTGAAGTGTGCAGCAGTGCATGTTGATGGAGAACAGGAAGATCAGGGTCAGCTGGGACTTCTTCTTGGCATGGCAGCCAAGTGCAATGAATTGGCTCATGGAGTTGCTGCTCATTCTGAGACACTTAAACAGCTGCTGTCTATTGGTGACTAATACATCACATCAGGTATTTATTTAACCTGCAAAACTGCTGCTTTTAATGTTTTCCTGAAGTAAAACAAAAGCAGAAAGCAAAGCAGGATAAAAAACTTGTTTGGATGAAGTGTGAACAGTAGATTGCAGCATGCCACAAATCCTTGACTCAATATAAGTTGAAGAGAAATATCAGCTACAAAAATTCTGCTCATGGATAAGAAAAAAAAATGAGTTCTGATTCAGAAATAAGCAGAAACAAGGCTATGGCAGAACAACTCTTCTCCATCAGTGGCTAAGCAACAAGTATCCAGGGATTACAAATCTCTGCATTGCCTTGTGCTTTGTTCCCTAGTTATTCAGCCTGTAGAGCACCACTGGAGCATAGGACACTTCCCTGTCTACGCCTTCCAGAAGGCAGCTCTGCAGATCGTGCAGGCAATGCACTCGGATGTCATTCCAACAGCCAGTCGGAACACAGTTGAGTGCATATCCAGAGCCAGGGAGAAGCAGTCTAAGGGAATATAGGTTAATAGTTACCCTTGGTTTCACTGTAGGGGTGACATAACCCCAGTCAGTAAGTGCTGTTTGAGCAATTCAGAGCTTCAGAACTTTACTAAAGTGAAAGATGATGAAAAATCAACATTGTTGAACCAGCTGAACTGGAGAAAACTTGTTATAATCTGGCACTAAGTTACCCTAATTTCCATTACACTTCAAATTTTCTTTGAGGAAATTGAGGTATTTCACACTGCAAATAGTTATATCATCAGGCAACCTATTAAATAAATAAAGCTGCTAAGCACTGAATCTAGTCATGAACAAAGCGAATGTTCCGTAGCAATGTCCCACACACGCCACAAGATGGATCTGGACATCCTCCACAGAAATAGCAAAGCTGTGTGCTGAAAGATTATTGAGAACTAGCTCGACAAATTGAAAGAGCTCACCTTAATTTATCACAGAAAATGTTGTCCACATTCCAGAGGAAAAATCCCATTAAGAATACAGTTAAAGATGTATAGCCCAGACCTCTAAGCCATGGGTATACCCTAGAGAGAAAGACAAATATTGCAAAATTTAGTTCAAGACACAGCTTGTAGCATACATAATATTACTATATGCACATAAACTGTGCATATAGTGTATAAACTGTTTAAAACATAAAGATTAACTTAAGAGCATCATTAATAAACGCACCCTCCCTTTTTGCATTCTAGCCAGGTCAAGAATCTTTAACATCCTAACAAACATTTGAGGCATTTATTCATTTCTAATAAAACAAGCCTGCCCCACAAATATCAAGAGGCTACCACAAAATGCAGTTTATGTTATTTTTAAGCATTATGAATACACAGTTTAGAATTCATGTTAAAACACATTCCTGAGCTGCTTTTTTTCCACACTTCACCGATGTGAGCAGAAGCAACAGAAATGTGTAAAACAGACAGGTTTTGTGATGTACCCATTGGCAACAAGAACACTGCCAACATAAACTGGCCCAAACAGTGTTTGTTTAGTCAAATAAATGCGTGGAGCACCACGTGCTAGAGTCGTGGAGTAAAACTGTAACACTTCTGACTCAGAATGAGTGTTCTAGAGACACAAGCAAACCCAGGACATGAGAAAGCATTAAATGGTATGTTGTACATGCTGGTGATTAGGTGCCTATAGTTGAAATTGTTCAAGGAATAAATGGAGTCGTTTTGTGAAGAAGTGAGAGGTTGGCATGACTTAATACAAGAGAACATGGTTTGCGAACAGATGACAACATGTGCCAAGGTATAATCTTGGCAAGGAAGCGGAGAAACCCAAAGAACCAGATGAAAAATAGGGGGAAATAGCCAGATATAGACTGCAAATGAGAACAGAAGGAAGTAGAGGTCTTGCTCCAAAGAATTCTGGAAGGAAAAACGTGCCATTCCCTCGAGGTTTTCGTGCTTGGACCGACTTCCAGCTCTACACTAAGCAATATGAGTGATAGGAAGCTAATATCACATATTAAGGAAAAAAGATCGAAAAGAAGCAGAAATACATAAGTTAATACAGCTTTGGACAAGTTTTAGCATGATAAACTGAGAGACAAAAGCACATCTTAACAATGTGGAGGAAGCAAATCTGAAAATGGAAGTAGGGCTGACTTGCAGAGAAGCAAAAGGGCACTGTTGGGTTGACGTTGCTTCTTTAGCAGCAGAATTAGTTTAAAATTCCTTCCCCATCTCAACTTCATGATCATGGTTTACAACAGCACAACTGAAAGGAGAAACTGGGCTTGTAGGGCCAGGCTGTCATGATGTGGCTAATGAAGAAAATATATTCCAGAAAAACTGCAATCAAGGGGGAAATAAAGTAGGTACAACATCAAAGAGAGACTTTGCTGAAGAAAACCTAACAGGAAACCCTGGGAGAGAGGATGGTTGTGTTATTGATAGCGACAGAAAACAGCAAAAGGAATAACACTTCAGGAATAATGACCATACATGAGTGTGTGGAATTTGCAAAGCTGGAAAGATAGCTGCCCTAAAGGGTTGTCTAAACCAGACATGCATAAAATTCACATTGAATTGCTAGACCTGTAATAAATCTTTGTGCAAACACAAAATTAAAGTGACTGGAACTTGATTCAACTCAGTTCCTTTGTAAGTGAATAAAGGCAGTATCAGTTTAGATCTCTAGGTTAGGATTAGAATTTGAATAGGTTCAAAAAGTGACTTTAAACTGGTAATTGTTCCAACAGCAAAAAGAAAACACACATATTTTATTTATTTACTTAAAGTCTGTGAACATTTATGCTGGGTCTGTTAAGATTTCCTAGGAAAAGTTAAATCAAATGAACTAAAAGTACACTTGCAAGTTGATTCAATGAGTCTGCTTTAAAGTCACAGTTTGTTAATTTTTTCCTTGTGTTCCTGAACAGTTATATGCTTAACCTAAGACACATGTAGCTTAAGATGTGGTATAGAGAAATCAATATTTTTCAGAGACAATCTCCATATTCATGAGAATGCCAACTGCTCAGAGGGCAGGAAGCGTTTAAATCTCTAGTATTAATATACAAGTATATTAATACAAGTATTAATACAAGGAGGCGAGACATTCCCTTCCAACTGAAGGGCACACTGGAGTTGGCATCACATACCTGGACCCAGAAAGTCTGTCAATGCTGATTTCTCAAGTCAACCTCACAGGAAAAAAAGGTGCAAATACTAAGTTTTAGCCTATATTATAATGAAGAATTGAATGGCTACTTACCATAATACTATATACACAGATCGTAGAACTATAATGGAGACTAGTGTTCCATACATGATCTGGAAATAAAAACAGAGACAGAATTCAACAGTGGCATTCAAGGAACACTAACAAAACACACACCCATAAGGAATACATACACAGAATACTAGAGAAGTAAAAATTCCTGATATCTCTGCTGATTTTTATTTCTCAGTCTCAAGAAAAGAGTTCCCCCCCGCCCCAATGCCTCTCCAACAAAGTCTTCCCCCAAAGTCTCCAATAAAAATATGATTATGTCCATGCTGTTAATGTAAGTAAAAGAAAACTCAGTTGTGTAGAACTGCTGTTTTACTTCTCTGACTTAAAAAGCCAACACTAGGTGGCACTCAGGAAGCATCCTGAGGTCAAAATGGTTAAGTCACTCCTATCACCTCTTCTGCATTAAAATCATAGTTCCTTCATTGATATTTCGGATTCATTATCTTTACTGAAAGCTAAATCTTGAACAGACTCTGCAGCACGCTCACGCTGAACACGACCATTAAACAATACTTTATTTTGAACTATTACAGGCTGCTAGGACTGTAATGATAAAGTGAGAAAGTTGTATTTTCCGAACAAGCACACAATCAAAACCTGGCTTAATGTAGGCGTTTAATGGAGTTTGATGTAATGACTTGACTATATAAAAGGTCAAAGTGATTATTTCTTGTCTGTCTTGAGATCTTTCAATGTCCCTGCCTTCCTTTATTCAAAAACTTAGGATCCACGTAACAACGTGCTCAAGACCAACCAACTAGATAGAAGAAATACAGTTCCTCTCTGTCCTTTGCTTCTCCATCCACTGAGTTTCCTTTCTCACTTTTGCTTTTAATTCTCATCTGACTCTTCCTTGCTTTGCATGAAATGAAATAAGAAACTTTTGCTTAAAAATGCCTAAGCCTCACAGAAGTAGCATATTTACATACGATTTTTAACAATACGATGGGTTTTTAACGTGTCTGTTGACTTCTTCATCCCTTTTGTTCTTTTAGGCTTCATGGCAAGGACTAGTCCTTATTTTACTGTAACTAGGGCATTCAGCTATGACTATCCTGTGAAAACACCCCTACCTTTGGCCATTCAATACAACACAGACTGCAGCACTGATGTGAAATAAAATCCACCTTTTAAAAATACATACATGCAAATTCCAAGTTCATATGAACTTCAGGGACAAGGTTAGTAGCACACACCATATTAGCAATGTATATATAGACGTAGAATGCACGGTGCAGTCCTAATTCTTACCCAACAGGTAAGACGAAGCTCCAGTATTGACTATGTAAGTCATTCAGCAGAAGCAGCCCTATATTTGCACTCAGAGCGAGATCAGATAACTCCAGTAACTCAACTCTGCTGCTGTGCTCAGCTCCAAAACCCAATTATTTGGAAGGCTAATTGGTTCAGGACCAACCCTTATGCAAAGCTAACTAATTCCCACTCCCCTTTCTGGGTCATGACACCTAACCAGAAAAAGTCCTGCTAGGCACAACCTGAGTATCAAGTGCTTATCAGTCCCAAGCTGAAGACGGAAAGATCCCCCTATAAGCCAAACACTAACTTCAGAAGTCAACAACCCTGCGAATCTCATTGGGAAGAGCCTATTTTGCTTTCCTAAACAACTCTAGTAATTTATTCCAAGAGGGGGAAGGCACGGAGGAAGAAACTCATAAAAAGCAGCCCAGGAGGCAGTTCTACTCCATTTCCTTGCTGCCGTCCTCCTTCCTACAGTGTTGACTGCTGAGGTCTGCTGCGCTGACGCAGAAAAATCTCCCTGCAAAGAAACCCATTTCTATCGCACTGGGTAACAGCATGGGCATCTCTGAGCTTTTATGGTGCAACTCGCTTGCACAAAGAGCAAAAATAGTGATAAGAGCATCTAGGGAAACATGTCTTATAGCCAGCCCAAAGGCCCCACAAAACATGGATAAAATGCTATTTTTTTTGCAACATGCTGAAAGCTTGAAAGGGCAAAAAGCTAAAGGGAAGCTTTCTTGTAGAGCTGCCAGCAGCTGGCAGAAGTTGTGTTGGAGGGAGGAGAAAAAAAAACGAAATAAGCCGTACAGTGTCTGAGGAAAAATATACCCCTAGTTGACACTTCAATTTCTTGCCTTTTCCGCTCCCTACACAAAGAGGTTGTTAGCAGTAAAACACATTTGTGTTTAAAAGCCTGTGAAAGACTGCAACAACAAACTGATCTTCTCTGCACGCTCCTGTCCTCCTTGTCACGCTGGGGAAGGCACCGGGGAGGTGTTGTACAGTCTCAGCATGTCACGGTGTCTCGCTACAACCGTTTCTCACTAGAGGCCTGGGAGCAGAGCGATGCAGCTTCGCTTGTTCCTTAGGGAAAAGAGCTTGTTTTTATTCCTCTGCCACCTGCGGATTTACTGTTTTTGCAACAAATTCATCAGGTCCTGTCTTTGCACCCAAGGAAGCAGAAAGCAAAAGCCCCCCCTTATTCAAGTTTTGAATTTCTTGATTCCTTTGTTCTGCTGCTTTAGCTAAACACATCATTTTGGTGACAGATGAAAAGCAAAGCTCATTCTGTGCAATTCTGCCTCAAAGTGCCTTCCTACATGAAGGCAAATGAGCACCTTGGCACTGGGTTGAAACAAAAGGAAACGGCAGCACCTCATCCTGCTTAGTTAGCGCTAGGCAGTTCCCTCTCTGCTGCTAAAGATGCAAATAAAGCTGCAGATAGTTCAGCTTTCGGGGCGCTGATTTTGCAATTGAAACCAATTTTCAATTTTATTATAATATTTTATTTATTATTTATTATTATTTATTTTCAATTTTATTATTATAAACTATTCAATTTTATTGGAATTTTATATGCTACCTGAAAAAAATACACATGGGACAAGTGTGCTCCTAGTTTGCAATCAGAAAGGAAGCATTTGGGCACTAGCTGGCAGCATTTTCAGAGATTAACATGTAAGTAGTTAAATTATTTGTATAAATTCACTTCTTGCACATGTCAGAGGCGAGGTTGAGATTCTACACCAAGAAGAGTGCAAAAAACAGGTTATCCATCCTCATGCCTAGTGCAGAAAGTTTCAAGAGCCTGTGATTTCTGCTATTCCTCGTGCTCTTGGATTTCTGTCCTTCTTTTACTAGTGATGTCAACTTGTCAGCCTTAAAAATTAGTGCAGACATTGAGAACCACGTGGAGGGATTTGGAGTTCTTGGCCACCACTTCTATATTAATACACAAACCAGCTATCAAAAAGCAGTTATCTCAAATCCTTGAGGCTGGACATCGTCCCTGGGGTTTACAACAAAAGAAATCGACTTCTGGGTGTTCCCAGGCTTCTGGGGAAGAAATCTGAGCGACGAGAGATGAAGGAAAATCTTCACCATGACAGTGAGTTTCGGAACTCCACAAAATTATAGCTGTTTAGTACTACACATTCTCCAAACACACTGAGGAGACAGCTACCAGAGCTAACTCGGATGACCTGCACCTGGTTTAGTCCTATTTAAATGCACGGAGAGGGGTAACGCGACACACGGCTCTGCTGCTGCTGCACGGAGCAGCTCTCCAGAGCTCAGCTTTATCCATGGTTTTGAGCAGGGTGATGCCAAAATATCAAGACCTCCATGGTGAAGACATGCCCTGAAAAGGTCATTTTTAACAGATTGCCTGGCAACCTGAACCTAGAAAGCAAGAAACATGTTCTGCTAAAGGCACAGGATATTAAGTCACAAGCCTTCAACTATGGATTGCCTTAGCAGCAGGGGGACTCTGGAGAGCTGTGAGACACTAAGGGGATCTACAGGGATGCCCCAAATGAGAAGTCTTATAAATCTGAAAAGGTTGCACCCTGGAGAAGAACTGTTCTTCTATTCATAAATCCTGCAGTTTCAGGTTCCCATATGTATTTCCATATACACTTTCCATCCCGCCTCCTTCTTTGCATTTATACATTGAAAATATCTGTGCAGGATAATCCTATTGGTTCATTTTTCATCTAGCCACATGAAAGGCCTTTTTCTCCCACGATGTCTCTCCCTTTCTCTGTCTTCCCTCCTCTCCTCCCTTCTTCGAAGTCATTTTAACTGCTAAATCCAGCACTACTTGTGCTTTACCTTCATCACGGATGCTGGAAACTCACTGGTCCTATTTGAGCTGTGATAAACAAATACGTGCAGGCACTCAATCCTCTGTTCCTGTAATTGCAGTCCTTAAGGTATTCCAGGCACCCTCCACTGTACTCAGCCATGTCTTACAACTCATGCCATCACGGACACCATCCACAGGCTTCTCTTTTTGGAGAAAGTCTGGGCAGAGGCTGCTTTTCATCATCTCTTTGTGCATTTTGCCACTAGTTGCTCCCTTACCCTCTCTGGAGTTCTTACATGGATGTACTTCTCCAGCCTGCTTCTTTTCTCATGGGACATCAAATTCAACGTTTTTTGTAGCGACTAGACAAAAGGCAGCTTTTTAACCACATTTCCTAATGTGGAAAAAGCAGCTAACCACAACGAGCTTTCGTTTCATCTTGATTTATATTTACTCTTTGAATTATTTTTGTTCAAAGTTTGCTTCAAAGTCTTGTAACATGCAGCTATACAAAGAAAATGGTATTTACATAACCTGACCAACTAGACGAATTAGGTTTTGATCACTGCAGATGTAAAGCCTGCATATTTTATGCAGTAAGCAACTAAATTGAGATAAAAAAATGTAGGTAATAGTTACCCATGCTATTTTTTATTGGAAAGAAGGTCACTTGTAGGACATGAGTCTAAATTTTTAGCTGTCAGGGTCATTTCTTTTGCTTTCAGGATGGTCTTCAATCTACCTGTCCAGCATTAGTCCACACCAGCAGCCAAATCCCTCCCTACATCTTTCCCTTGTGTAAGCACAAATACATACGTGGTAAACAGAGATGAGCAACTAATCTCATTTAAAACTAATCCCAAGGAGAACTTTAACCTGTTTAGCTCCTCAGTGAAATTCACAGAGTTAATTTTTTTATTTTGGCATTGGACAGGAAGAAAAGGAGAGGATATAGCTGTTTCCTTGGACAGTGATCCTGGCTTATGAAACAGGTATGAAAGTGGCACTTGGGCTGGTTCAGTGCTATTCTAGGCAGTAACAGAGAATAAGATATAAGCAAAGCAATATATTCTTGTAAGAGCTAGTGGTATTTTAACTGATAAAAGTTATGGGGAAAACAAAATCCCCCAAATTTCCAAAGAACAGACAAAAATGCCAACCCCTTGCCAAAACAGGTGGGTTGTCAGGCAAATATTTTCTTCTACTAAGAAAATGCAGTCTCCATCTGTTCACGATTTGCACATCCCATTCCTCCCACAAGGGAAAGATGGAGACCCTAAAGATCTGCAATATCTGAATGGAGAGAGATGGTGCCTGTTGTTACCCTACCAAGAATAACAAGCAGAAATCCCCTCCTGCTGGCAGTGAGCAATTGCTGGGAATAAATTGGGAAGGAAAGTGGGAAATAATTCACTGAAAAATGAGGCTTCGATTGTGGCTACTGAACATAATAGGACACTTTTCTATTCTTTACCCTAACAGGACAGCAATAGAAATGCACTGAAATGATGAACAGTTTAGAGCTGGCCATGCAGTTATTCCCTTTTCTACAAGGCTGATAAATGGAGATGAATACAGACAAATACCTGCAGGAATCAAATGCTGTTTTATGTCCTAAAATTGCTTTCCCGCAGAGCTGGAGACTGAGATTAAGAGTTAAACCACGACTCATGCATGTATTCAAGTTTACATTAACTCTGCACAATCCATTCTGTTGGGAAATATTTACAGAAATAATATAGAGATTTTTTGGTTCACTCCAAAATGAAGGACAAGTATTAAGAAAATAACCCTGCTTAACTGCAGTCAGAAAAAATGTTCTAAAGTTACCACATAGTTTGTGAATATTATGCAAAAAATCAGTGCAGTACTCGAACAGCTGGAATTTGTCCATAACTATATGTACTCTATAAAAATCAATTTGGAAAGAGTTGTTGTAAAGAGGCCAGTGCTTTTATATGCCTAAATCTTTTCCACATTGATTCCTCGTGGATAAATTATAACATGAAATTCATGTTCTGAATCTAAGACAAACCAGATGCAAAAAGTTCAAGCTTTGGGGAAACAGTTTAGTGTTTTCAGAGAAGCCATATTATCTATTGCCTTAATATCTTTAACAAAGAAAAGTATTTATGGGAAAACATCAAATCAGGGTATAGCAAAGCTGTAATATATTTATTATAATAAATGTATACTGAAAGGATATTTGATTTATGAAATAAAATACTCCGCCATCAGTAATGAATTCTGCCATTGTTGGTAACAGAATTATTTCAAAGAATTTCATTTAAGCTCAGGTTTATGAACAGTTCAGTAAAAGCACTAGAAATTGCCATTTTAACCCTGGCCAATATCTTATTGCCAAAAATAACAAAAATGTAGGGGCAAAAAAGAAAGTATCAGATTAATATGATTGAAAGCAGCATGCAAGTTTCTCTTCTAAATCTAGAGGTAAAGATTTTTGATTTTGTGAGGGAGTTTTACTCAGCAGCCCTTTACTAACCCACCAAGAGGAACAACATATCATTTTTTATTAATACTGGTCCAGCAGGAGCTTTTTGACAGACGATGGCACTACCAATTTCAGAAATTAAGGCTTTAAAGTTTTGTCTTGCTAAGAGCTCTGTGCTTTTTCCTTGGCAATTTTTCAGTAGTTATCCCTAATCATAAAGTTATAAAAGGGGAAAAATCACAGAACAGATAAGCAAGCAGGATTTCTAATCTTTTGTGAAGAGGCAAGTGAGGCAAATCCAATCCAAAAAGGCAGTGAATGCCCATTACCACTGTTAGGCTAATGCAAAAGAACAGGAACCAAATGCATCATTGAGCCTCCAAGACCCAAATACCTGTCTACTATATAACCGTAATAGACATGTCTGTGTGTAAATTCAGCTTGTGTTTACACAAAATAGAATTGTTAGAAATGTTAATATACTAAAGGAGGCAAAAGAAAATGTGGCTAAGTCACCCAAGCCATGTTATGCTTGGGGACAGTTTCACAGCAGGCACTAACAGAATAAACCAGATGAGAACTCATTGCTCCCTCCCTCTCACACACACCTTCATTTATATTATATGTTACTTTTAATTAGGGGAACCTACACTATAGTTAGGATCACCTTTTATTATACCAGTGACCGAATAAAAATATTAGGTCAAATATTCAAACAAAGCACATTAAACACATTCTGGTTTTGCAGACCAAGTCACAGGCTGGCAACATGACAGGCAGCAACACTCAGCAAATTGAGTTTGCTTTCCATTCTCCCTTCGTTCCTTTCAACTATAAAATACCATAAAACATTTCTCTAAAAAGAGAAACAAGATGAGCTTCTCCAACAGAGCAAGATTTACCTGATGGAATACTGGCTCTTTCAAATTTAAGTAAACCTGAAAAAAAAAAAAAGCAGAGAATTATCCTATTGTTAATCTGAGTATCATGAAGATTTGTTCTGTTGGAATAAAATCTTAAGTGTCTGTCTATTTATCACCAGACTCCTAACATGGCATGAGTTTAAAGAAACATAAATGACAGAACAGTCAAGCTCTCTAAAGGCACAAGACTTGAAATCACTTCTGCTATTTTTATTTAAAAGCATTTTTTTAAAGAACATTTCCATCTGTGGTTGACAGAGAGTAGATAAGGCATTTTATTCAGACTGGGAATACACTGACTGGAGAACAGAATAAAGCTAACCACGATACCATCAAAGTTCTTCCAAGTTTAGAAAGAACTACGTTTCTCTCCTGATCTGGCTCTTGTTTTAAAGTGCCAGTCAATGCACTGGACTGTATATCACTGTGCACCTTTTGCAGTCCATTGAATGGGATTATTCTCATTATTTTTAGAGGAGTTAAACGGAGACTTAGACAGCTATTTAGTTTTGTCTAAGGTTTCACAAAAAGGCAAAATCAGAAGTGTTTTCCATGCAACCCTGATCAAGACCTGCATTACTACCTCTCTTCTTCCTTTTTCTATATAAAGTGTTTTAAAATCATATTTGTTTACAGAATTTTTTCAGGTTTTCACACTAAAAGAATAATTTAGCCTTCTTGGCTGGAAGTGAGAGATTCAGTATGGCCTGAACAAGACTCCTCCAGTGACAGAACTACCAACCCACAGGTGAAAACGCTGTATTAGAGAAAGGCACTTACTATGCTGACGACAACACTGTATGTTATTAACAGGAAAAGCAGCGGATAATTGACTGTGTTCTTATACTTGAAACATTCATACCTGGAACAGAACAAAGAAGAGCAATAACATTCCTCACTTAGGACATAAAAGACATATTTTTCAAGGCCTATATTATTATTATATATTTGGAAGAGCACTGACCCAAATAAACATTCCTCACTTAGGACATAAAAGACATTTTTCAAGGCATATATATTATTACATATTTGGGAGAACACTGACCCAAATAAGTTTTAGGTCCTTCAAGGAAACATGGCTCCCCTCCAAAGATTTGTCATTTCCATGTGGAAATTCATACTTTTACCAATAAATGGTTATGAAGTATACTGTGAAAAAGCCATAGGCTTATGTACAACATACAAAAAATAATCCAGGTGATAGAAGTAGCCTGGGAAGCAGAGCATTTGTGAAGGTGCTTCAGGGATAATAATGGTTGGTAAATTAGAAATGAGATTAAAATGCAGTACAGCTGCCAAGAAAACATTATTACGTCTGTGAGCTAAGAGTCAGTGCAGGAAAGGGCCTGACTTACAAATCAGCAAACTCCAGAGATCTGTTAAAAATCACGAGTTGTTTATGGCTTTGCTATAGTTGCAGTGCAGCTATTTACTACTTTGGGGTTGGTGGAAGGTAAAAACTGCTAATTGCTACTGGTATGCAAAACAGCTAATTAAAATTAGCTTCAAGATCCGAGCACTACACTTCAATCATGGCTGTGAGGGAATTGCACCCACCTTGCAGACCGTATCGCCATCATTAAAAAAAAAAAAGAAAAAAAGAATTAAAGAACAAAATGAACTTTAAGAACAAATGTACTAGGCCTAGAGGAAATTGTGTATGAAGCAACATATGTCTAGTTTATTATCACAGTTGAAAACCGTTTGCAAACTGTGAAAGGATAAAAGGAAACAAGGAAGAAAAATGTAGCAATAACTAGGAAAAGAATTACAATACAGTGCATTATGTCCCAAAGCAACTTGCTGAAGTAGTTACAGAGCCTGAGAGTTGGTAGGACCAAATGATGTGTAAGGAGAGGGTTTGTGTGGAACGACACCTTCAAGAAAACCAAAAGATTATTAAAGGCCTCTTGTTTTGCTTTCCGTAATACCAAGGATTAACTCATTCTTCTGAACATTTTAGTCACTACCAAACACACCTGCATAAGAATTTATCAGAGCTACATATGCAGTAACAGACTCCAGTGCTTTTGAAGATGACAGAGCAACTACCCTGTAATATTATTTCAAACATTTTTTTTCAAAGTCTCTTGCCATTCTTTCCTCAACCACATTCAAATCATGCAAAAGAAACGCAAAGGTGATTTCAAAGAGACAGGGGAGTTTCAGCTACAAGGGAAATATCTCCACGAGTCCCATGTCTGAACAAACCACAGCCCGAATTTATAGTAATTTATACTGACGTGGGTTGAGTCCTGCAGCATCCACTTCAGCTGCCAGAAACCTTCACCAAAGATACTCGGGTTTTCAACAGCTGAAGATTGGATCATATGTTCAAACAGGGGAAAACAAGACATTTTCTGTCTGCAGAGAGTCTTCTAACATTGAGATTTTCCAAGTGACAGAACAAATCATGTTAAACCTAGGCCCTGTGTTAACAGGTAGGAAAGGCAGCACACTGGCTCTTAAAAATGCTGTACTTTCTGTCACTAAATCAGAGAAAAATGTCTTGTTGTGGCACACAGCTATAATGAATGCTTCAGGATACCCTCTACCACATATATATGCAGCTCTTATTTTTTTGTGGTTTTGTTTTTAATTTTAGAGACAAGGAGAAAGCCGGTTTAACCAGACGTATGAGATTCACATTTGGAGGCAGAGCCTATCCTAGAACCACAACTCCAAGAAGTCACAGTGCTGGTAATTTAGTAGGCATTACTGCAGGTCGTTTTATTAGCTCTGCAGTCTATATCCTAAACGAGGCTACACTTTGGTTGTATACAGCATTTAGACTTTAACAAGAGTCTTTTTTTCTTGCTAAGCAAATACTGGGATGAGATCTCTAAATTAGTAAGAGCTTGGACTACAGCCAGGCTGTTGCTCTCATGGCTAAATCACAGTGCTTTATTGCTGGCAAAATCGACATCTCATTAAAAACATTTCAAGTTTCACAGTGGCAGCTTCACTGAGCACTAGACTGGGCTTTGCATATCCTGTATTACAAATATTAATGTTTCAAAAGTATTCGAGGTGAAAAAAAAAACATTTAACAAATACTTACAGGCAGTAGACAAACACACAACAACTGTATATCATTGGCAGTTCATCCAACAGCTACAAAAAGCAGAGACATCAAAACATGAAAACTGCTTTTAACCAGACACCTGGGTAAGTTAATTAAGGAGAGACACTTTTTAAGAAAACAAGAGTTTTAAAGTCATCGCGATATCTACCTTACTGACTGTGCTCGAATACAAGTCAAATCCTACTCAGATACTGAAATTAGCAGCTGCACTAGTAAGCTTATTTTAATGAACCTTTTGAATACTACATTTCATAAGAAACCCATGTATGAAAAGAATCATGCCATTTTCAATGTTTTTACCTCTTTAAGCATTTACCAAACATTTTTCCAAAGCCATATCAAACAGGACTGCACCTTTTAGAACTTCCCCAAAATAGTCAAGATATTTCAGTATTTCTATGCAAGGATCTGTAACAAGATTTTTTATCCATAGCATAAAATAGAACTTTACTCCCCTAAGAAGTGCTCTGTGATGGGTGTGCATCTGTTTATTTTCTAATTTTGAAAATTTATTACATTTTTAACTCAAAAGACTTTTTCTTTTCAAATTAGGACTGACAAATAATGCCGTTTTGTTGCGTTCAATTATTTTTATACTATTTGTAGGAAAATACTGGTATGTTACAGCTAAAACAGGAAGCTCTCCAGGGACTCTACAAACTAATTTTGGTGGACTGCAGTAAACACAAGAAAGGTGATTGCTCAAGAATAGCTACATATACACTCAAATTCATCATGCATATATATTTTATGACTACATCATAGCATCACTTTTCTAAAGCTTTGCTGAACAAAGAACATTAAAAAATGATGGACCTAGAGTATAAACCTATAGTTGGCCGATTTCCTTTTGAAAGAGGGTTGAAAATCATGAAAAGGAAAAAGCATGCAGACAGATAAGATTCACTGCCTCTAATTTCCAGTTATGTCAAGCAACAGTTAATACTCACAACTTAGAATCTGACTCTGCCAGCAGGATTCAAATTTCCCAAAGAACAAGAAAAATTGGAGAGGAATTGGGTGCAAACTGATTTTGGTGTTTTTCCCCCAACATTTTTTAAGCTGTGTCTCTGTCCCTTCCTACTACTGGTGAGAGGTATTTAATAAATTCACATTTTTTTTTTCTGAACGAGGAAGAGCATTAAGAGCAATACCAGCTAACATAACCCTTTTCATACATCCTGATTCTTGTTAGCTGGGGCCATTTTTATTTTCTAACTGCACGGGCAAAAACTTTCATTTAATTTTGAACTTTTATATAGAAAAAAAAGGGAGTTACTGGTCACGGAAACCTTAAGGAATGTTTCACAACGCAGCCAGGCAGATCTAGTGACCAGCACACAGCGAAAGGGAACGTGTTGCTTCTTTATCCGCCTTCCTAGAGCTTCCAGTCCCGCTCATCTGATCCAGGATGAGCAAGTCCAGAGAGCTGAACCAGCACAAAACTCACCTTGAAGAAAAAGGGAATAAAATCTTGCTGTTTTAAGTCCCTGGACCCGTGCAGGGTTGGGATGGGGACTGCAAGGGTCACCACGGAGTGTCAGGAACACAAGAGCAGGACCGGCTTGTTAAGCAGCCCGTGGAGGGTTTTTCTATCTCTTTGCTACACCACAGCCTTAGAGTGAGAAACAACAGAAGCCACAGCTAAATTTAGCTATATCCTAACAGATATTATTTAGAAATTGAACACTGTTCTCATCTAGCCTGATCTGAATTAGCTGTAGGATTAATTCATGCCACTCTTTACTTCAAAGTGTGCCTTAATACCTCAAAATAAGAAATCTGGGGGGAAAAAATGAGAAATATAGCAAACATTTTCAAACTTTGACAGTTGGTTACACTTTTAAGTTCATTCGCTGGCAGCTTTTCAGGGACACGAAGGTAATAGCAAAGAGCCTCTCAAAAGATCCTTAAGAGAATGGCTCTTTCATCAAAAGGAATTTATCCCTAAAGAAATCCTGTTAACAGGATGTTTGAGCACAGAAGAAATATGGAGAGAAGGAAATGTGGTAAGCTGATTTAGCATTTTTTCCCATTGTTTTTCAAGCCACAATATAGCACAGTTTCCCTTTTTTTTATCCAGGAGAATAAGAGAATAGGGGCGATGGCTTCAGAAAAAAAAATATTTACAATATTAAGATGGTAAAACAAAGCTCAGAAAAAAAACTTCTCTTCAGACAGCTACCAATGTTGACTTTAATTATAATAAGAAATAAGGTGAACAGGAAAAGGTTATTTACTGGTTGAAATGCTTCCTCCCTGGTCATTGACCAGTTAGCAGGCAGTGTAATTAAGGAGCACTCGCAGATTTAGCTAGGCTGCCAAAATAACAAATATATCCTGTCTCACACCAAGCCTTTTATTCTAGGGAAAAGATGATTGAAGAAATTCGCCTTCTCCCTCATCTGCTTCTGTCCCCTTTTTTATATCACAGTTCACAGGCCCCTGGTTTGCTCTCATAAACCATGCCATAAGCAGCAGTTGTGTGAGTTAAAAAAGCCTCCTCATACGAAAAGATCCCCTAGAATGTCTGAATCCTGGATCTTTTCAGTGATCTGGGATACAGGGTGGCCTCTGCATACATGCAAGAAAAATGATGTGAGCAGTGGCAGGATTAATGGAGAGCTGAGGGAACAGAGGTGGAAAGGGGAAAATCTGAGGCAGTCTCAGAGATTAGAGATAAATTACAAGAAGTTTTATTTTGTTGAGAGAGGAGGGATGGATCTAGAAACCTTTTTCATGCCCCAAATCCCCAGATATTCTTATCTGGTGGCAACAGAATGCTCCTCTGAGGAAGTGTTTCAGGTCCCATCGTAGTCAGCAGAGAACCAGGATTCAAACCAGTGGCCATGGCACAATAAATTCCAGCTGCATTAATTGCAACTCCATTGACTATACTGGGAGCACAGATTTTTAGATGTGCTTCTCTTAACCTGAACTGAATCCTGCCTGACTTTGAACCAAGGATGAATTTTGTTATTCCTCTCAAATCTAAAATAGCACAAGACTTCCCTTTAGAAAAGGGAAAATACTGGGACCTGAAAACAAAACAAGAGACAGAAATAGGGACTCATCTCTTGCTTTCTAGACACAGGCACATCCAGAGCAATAATAAGAACACATTAAAACAAAACAAATGCAATGCAAATACAATTCAAAACAATAATCTATATTCCCTACTATTTAGCAAAAGCTATAGGAACTTTATAACATTCCTAGTAAAAAGAAGGCATGATTCCCTAAAGTATAAAGTATTTTCTACCAAAGCAAACAATTAATTACAGCATCTGTTTCAGATATACAGGAATATATACTTATATCTACTAGTGAAAATATCTAGTGAAACAAGACCCAAACTAGATATGTGCTGAGAATGGGACTAACAGACAATTATATTTAAGCTAGATTAACTTGTGTTATGTGAGTTTCATCCAGAAAAGAAATTATAATATGCCTATGCAGTGAGATGTGGATCTAAAATGATGCACAGCTACTTATGAATACTGACCTGCATTTCATACTTCAGGGTCATGTGGAAGCACCAGGATCCCAATCCCACAGCTGAAACCAAACCAAAACATGGGTTAGCATTGAAGTCCTCTCAAAATCTCATTCAAATACATTAACTTAAACAGGCAGATTTTACTAACAACAAAATATTGGGGCTGTACAAGTGAAGACAAACTCCAGAATTAATGCAGTATTGTTATTCTACTGCATTAGTATGTGTCAGAATCTTTCCAAAATCCAGCTGCTAGTAATACAAAAAGCCTGTAATACTTTTAGATACTTTTAGTTTTGCAAGAAGCACTATTTTGGCTATAGAAGCAGAAAACTGAAATGCTACTACAATTCAGAGTCCGAAATTCAGAGTAAACAAACACAATTAATGTATATTACTTAATTAGGTATGATTCATTCTTGAGCAATGAGGTCCTCCTTTCTGAAAATTCTTCTTGGAAATTCATTCTATGTGCTGCATTTTGTTTATTCCAAATATTACTTTTAAAGTCAATCTCAAAAGTAAATTTAAAAGACATATACTTTGCTTGGATTCTCCTCAGCCAGACAAATATAATATTTCTTAGATGTGAGATTTTACTTAGAGCAAAGGCAGTAGCTTATTTAATATATCATTTTTACTTTATAAATAAAGTATGTTAAGGCATCAGCACATTTTTATTTTTTTGCTAGAATGAGAACATTATTGTGTTTTCTGTTCCTCCAGGAAATTATACTTTATACTGGACTCCAGTTTCAGAGAAAACGAAGTACTTTGCATTCAATCCTTGACCACTGTGTATTGCTTTGCTGCAAGAACAAACCCTTCTTTTCTAAACACAACAGCTACCCTTCACTGACACATAAACAGATCACTAAAACGGTGCATTTTGTTTCCTAAGGCAGTTGATAGACATGTCTGGAGATGTTTCTTGAGATGTTATTACACTAGAATTGGGATTATCACAGGCATTTCTCTTCATTAAGTACATAAGCCCATCGCTGTCTACAGAAACCTAAAACTGTAATATAGCTGTATTTAAAAATGCATTTCCAAATACTTCAGTGTCATTAATTAAACTGGGCACGGCTGTCTAAAAACATGCAGCAACCACACGCACTTCCATCACTTGCAAAGCACTTTTTTATGCTCTGAAACAGCTTTTCACACAATAATCAACAGCCCTTTCAACCTTCATTAAGATATTTTCAGTCATTTTTTCTGTGAATGCAGCATAGACTGTCATTACTATTCATTCTGAAGCAAAAAGAAGCACTAAAATCTTCATTAAAACAGTATCATCCATTATCATGGCTGTTGTAGAGATTTCAGTATCTTCCTGATAAACAAACTTGATCGCAGGAATAACAGCAATTTTCCATAGAAGCAACTTTCCCATGGCAAAGCAAGAGGCAGATTTGCTCCTTATCGTGTAAGCAGAGGTTACTGTTCTCCTTTTGAGTGTTTCCTTCCATAAAGAAGCTTCAACTCAACTGATGACTACATATGAGTTGAGGAGTTTTGATGGCTCTGAAGCAGTAAGACCTCCACTTTAATTATTAGAACTCAGTTTTTCAAAGTTAAAATGAGACAAGAAGTTCACTCTGCTTTTCACATTGAGAAACCTCCCAAGTTACAGGGGAAATACAAAAAAAAAAAAATAGGCACTGACTACACATTGAGCCACAGCATTTCCATGCAGTACTATGAGAACAGAAAAGCAGTTAGGAGGACTGGAAATGGTTAAATTGTTATATGTAACCAACGTGTCTTTTATCCCCCTGCACCAAAGGCAGTGTGTGATTAGTGTCTGTTGATACAATAGCTCTTTTCAAGTGTTAGCAGTAACATAAATGCAATGCTATCCACAAACTCTAGTTCAGATGCAGTTATTTCATGTTATTTCAGCAACATCATGCTTTCACCCATGAATTTGCACGAGATACACATTACCCTCATGCTTCTTGTTTTAGGAGGACACAAACACACATGCCCTAAGAATTTTAAAATGGTTGGGGAAGATTTAGAATTTTCATATAAGCAGTAACAGTTCATTTTGATATAGGACTATCCAAGAGCCTTCAAGATTATCACAAGCCTAATGTTTTTTTACGGAAAAAAGAGTGTTTTGTTAGGATTCCATGGACTTCATTTGAATTTAAGCTATGCGACTTCTGTATGAAATGAAATGAATGAATGAATAGGATTCACTCCAAACACCTATATTTAGGCATGTACACATAAAGCATGTGTCAAATCTCCCACTAAAATGAATGGCATTATATGAGTGATTCAGCTGCCCAAGTATCAAGTTATTTTTGGGTGAGCTAAACTATTCCCTGAGCTATACTGACTGCAATGGGAAACAGATGCCTCCTGCACAGAAAACATACATGACTCTGGAGTTGAGTCCCATGTATGGTTTACTAAAATAAGATTGGACTGAAGATAAGCAAAATATCAACAAAAAGAAAGCGTATTCCATCACATATGGTAATGTGAGATGAGAAGACAAAGTAGAAATAAATGAACAGTAGTATATTTAATTGGAATTTCTCCCTAGGACCTAAGGAACATGAATGATGTTGGCTGCTCCAAGGGTACAGCTCTTCAAGGAAAGGCAGATACGGCTGGGAATCTTCCCAGACATTACAATGCAACTGCCTGGGCTAACAAGTTGCTGGAACAGACTATGGCAGGTGAGAAGAAAGGAATTCATTTTGACTGCAGGGCTTCCAACAACTATTTTCAAAGATGCAGAGGTTCACCACGAGTTCCTATGGCAATGTCTAAAGTAGGAACATTCTTTCCTCCTTTTTTTCCCCTCCACTGTGGCACAGCTTGAATGAGCGAGCCCTAGAATTTCACTAGCCAGACCGAAGACAAATACTAGAGGCCCTGAAAATCCCCAGATTTCAAGGAAAACATCACAAAGTTTGACTCCTACTCCACTTTTCCTTAGGTCCAAAACAGATACTTCGTTCAAGTATATTTCGATTCTTGATTCAATACTTAATTTGTTCCAGTATTTCATTCAAGACGTAGCTGAATATATTTTATAATCGGGACCCTTCTAAGGGTCTCAGGATCCTCAGGAAGCATGAGAAAAATGATAATATACCAAAGCATTAATGGAACTATCCAAAAAACAGCTGTCTGTTCTTAGAGGTCTGATGTGTTTCACCTACTTCATGAGATGCTAAGTGTTAAAGTAATTTCTTAAGAATATTTTTAATATCTTTTAGGTTGATTATTTTAGATAGCTTTAGATACATAAGGCTTAAAAATCTTACTCACTGCCTATTGAGTTCATTGACAACATGCTCTTTGAGCTAAAACATAGCAGAAATGAGGACTCAGAACTGTGTGTCGTGCCTCAAAGAACTTGCAGAAAAATGCAACTCAGCCTTGGCACCACTATGAACGAGGAATTTATTTAAATAGCTATTTAGAAGCCCCCCTTCTTCTCCTGCCAGGTTTGGATCTCAGCATGTATGTGAAATGAGCAGGGCTTCCCTAATTCCAGATGCATTGGGTTCAAAGAGGAAATCGATGTCAACAACAGAAATGTGGGAGTATAAAGTGGAGCACTGAACACAGCATGGCAAAACACAAAGGAACTGACAAGCAGCTAAATATTTGGAAGCATCCAAAAGAAATAGCTGATTCGGATCAAAATAATGTCTGGAAAAAAACACTTCTTATGTTCTTAAATGTTAACAGATTTTTATGTCATTTTTGACAGCTGTCTTTAACTTCTGCTAAAAATCTCAGTAACAAATTGAATTTGTTAATACTAAACTAAAACTCATGTCTTGTCCCCTCTCAACTTCAAAGCAACCCAAGAATTTGTACTTTAACAAAGCAACCCACAAAGGGTTACTAATCAGCTATAAGAACTTCTACACGTTCTTTAATGAGTACATGGTACCTAAAGCAAAATCAGCAGTTTTGTGTTAAATTAATTATTTCTTTTACGGATTAAGTTTATACTTGTTCATTACAAAGTAATTGCAGACAGTGAAATCTATTAATAAGTAAAACCACTGTAAGGAAAAGTATTTCCTCTGGCTCTTTCTTACCAAAACTCATTTCTAAACATTTCCTCTATCTACACTTCAGTACATTTCTCATTCTGTCGCAAACACAGAAAAATTGTCAGCTTTCCTGGCACATTTTGACTATTTTTAAAAATCCTGTTTAGCTTCTCACCTGCTGTTTTGTTCTGGAGTAGACCAAACACAGGAAGTTCATGGTTCTCAACCATCCTATTCCTGTTTTTCACTGACAAAGTATAGAGATGTAAAGGAATATAGAAGGTTTTAAAGTGCCCTAGAAGCTGCTGTAAAGCCAGCTGCGTGTTGTGATTTCTGAAGCAGAGATAAGAGAAACGTTTTGGGGTGTGACCTTTCATGTTCGGTTCCAGCAGAGGATGTGGAAGTGAAGCCATGCAAGCATTTATCACTCCAGACAGGAGTCAAAGGCTCGTTTCTAGCCACAGATGAGCAGAGAGGGCCCAGCTGGGACTCAGGACTGCCCTGCAGCACTGCTGTCAAACACACAGGCCGGGTTCCTCTTCAGAAACGCCAAGGGCAACACAGCAGTGGAAGCTCTTGTCCATTGTCATCGAAGATGGACTCTAAAATATTCATATTAAATGACATATAAGAGAAATTCCAATTCAGACCTGGAAATCCCTCTCGCACTCCTGGTTGGAGGCTCTGATCAGACTGGGATGTGTTTTGTCCTCTGTGAAGTGTCACCGCCAGAGGCGGTCACAAGTCAGCATGGAGAGAGTGATGCTCCTCTATAGAACTTTTACATTTATTTAGTTTAAAGGAATGGATAGAGAGATTCTTTGATGCGAGAACAAGCAAAGAGTTCACTTCAGCAAGGGCTTAAACACTGCTTCTTTGCCCAGAAAAAGAGCCTGTCTTAAAAAGGGAAATGCTGACCTTCAAGACCTCCTTCTACAGAACTCAATTTTATACAGAGAGGAAATTATATAGTTATTCAAAAGCATAAAGAAGACTGCAAAGAGCCATTTAGAAAGCATTCACACAAACTCCATGGTTGTACACTGCTGCTGCTCATCTTTAATGTACATCAGTAAAGCTGAACCAAGTCTTCCAGTAGCTGAAAAAAAAGGGAAGCTGTACCAGGTGTTGTTACAGCTTAACTGGCATCAAGAATGCTTCTAGCATAAGGATATATGCTTTTTACTGAGGTTTACTTAAATACCTAAGCATACTAGTCTTAAAAGTAACATTTAAAATAAACTGAGATGGGAGAAGGAAGAATATATTTTCCCACAGAAAGCAGCTATAGCAAACACAGAAACTCACTTCTACAGACGCAGCTGTCAAACCCCAACCACCTTAAAACATCTCTTTTTCTTGCAAGGATAACACATATGATCTCTAGTTGCACAGACCATCAATTAAAGGTTCAAAGGAAGTTTCTTTTTGATATTTTGCTATTGCAGGAGGCTGAACTCCCTAGAAATGAATGCATGTACCAACATCACATTGGTCTTCCATCCTTGTTGAATTTCCCAAAGGATGGCAGTTAGGCTGCTGGCTGAAATATGGCTAAGAGGATTGAGCTCAAATTGAAATTAATTAAAGAGTGCTCAGTCAATTCCTCCAAGATCCTGCCCACTTATTGTGTTATTAATCCATATAATTGTATTAAATTAAGAACACTAATACAGTGTTAAACTGCAGAGAACTAGAATACACAAAATGTCTTGTGTAAACCATCACAGAGGTATCCAGTGAGCAAAGGTGCACTGAGCAGGATGTAAGGCCAAGGATCAATCACGTTCCAACCTCAAAGTTATTTTGTGAATTCTAACTTCATGTCCTTCCAACAAATAGCAATTTTCTGAAAACATCAAGAACTACAAACAAATATTCCGCACACACAATATTTGGCTTGCATTATTTGGTTTGTTAATGTTTGGATATTTTTAATTATTATTCATCCAAGCTCCTTTTATAATTAAAGAGCAAATGAAGTTTTACACATACCTGTGAGACACAAATACGCAGCTAAATACCGTTTTTCAAGGCCATCTTTATAGGTCTGAATCGCACCATAGATTGGAGGTAGAATGAAAATCAGGTTACTCACTGTGTTCCCTGTGGGACAGAAACCAAAAACAGAGATTTAGTATTGGGCTCTCTACCAATAAACAACACTGCATTTCGTCAACAAAGAGACCTCCAACCATTTCATCCAGAAAGATAACACCCTTTAAAACTTACTCTGCTTTCACAGACGGTTTGAAGTTACATTTTTCTATAACTTGGGTCATTTTATTTGAAGGCTGACAATATCACAACTTCTGTGTAATTTTTCACATTTGGAGAGCAATAAAATAGTAATTTGTCCGGCATTTACTTTCTTGGCAGGAAGCAGATTATGGTGATTACAGAGCTCACGAATTTAAATCCAATTCCTTAAGGAGATTTAGGCCCCATATATTTCAAGTTGGGTATTTAGAAGGGCCTTTTAAATTATTTAGTTTTATTTTAAGGCTACTCTTGGAACTGTCCTCTCGGATACTTTACGGACACTTTATGGACTCATTCCCAAATGAAACGAGTTCTATCTTCGCTATTAATGCACTAGTCCCAGCACGTGTAAACCCAAAATAAACCTGGTGCTACATCACAAATTACAATATACGTCCAAGGACTGCAATAAGGTAAGATAAGGAAGAGCATAAGGTTAAAGCTCTGCGTGACAGGCAACCATCAACACGGACAACTGTGAAGGCTCATCAAGAGCCTAAACAGGAGCAACATGTAGTTGGTCTCTATCCCTCTTACAGAAGCTGTAGCACTGCACAAAAAACACCCAATTTATGTGTTGTAGAGCTCAGAGAAAACAAGAACAATCTTCGGTTCCAAGGACTCTTCCAGCAAAGAGGAAGATGAACAATTTGTTTTCTTTTTTTTTTGTTCTCTTTTTTTTTCAAGCTTACTCTCATTTTCAAGCTTTCCTGGCATCAGTGCTAATGACCTATACAAAAAATGCAATGAAACACTGAGAAGTAAAAGTGAAGTGAAAGGAAATGGATATATTTCTCACCAGATGGAATGCAAATTCAGCTTTTTGGCCTAACCACAAATCATAATTTTGAGAATAAGGGTTATGCAATATGAACCAAATGACATGCAATTTGGCCAAAAGAGCATAAGTATAAAAAGGGCATAAATTAAACTGCACACTTTCATACCTCATCAGTTAAAAATAGACATAACATTGAAATTTAAACTCTGAATTTCCAGTGACAAGTGCAACATTTGAGGCAAACCAAATTATTTCTGGGTTTCAGTAGAGCATCTCCAAACAGTTTCCTTTTTTAAAGCAGGGAGCAGAGCGAATAGGCCATGTCCACATTACTTTTCTCACCCAAGTGCTCATTTTTTTTATGAGTCTTACTCCAACATGACTGCCCAAAGAAAAATGAAAACTATCAAACTGTGGTCATATAACCCCAAAATATTATGGCACAGAGTGTGGGGGAGGTGAAGGGAAGCCCCCTGCTTTACAGGTTTACAGAAAGTTCAAGCTCAAAGGGAAAAATGATTATTTCAGAACATATGAAGCATTATCTAGTTAACTTGCACCCGTTAGCTCTACTAAATTCTCACACATCAGATGTGGATATTAACCTTCGTGACCGGATAAAAAGCACATCTGAAATGAACACTTCATAAAACAAAATTCTCACTTACTGCACAACCACAAATATGACCAAGTTCCAACAACTGAAAAAGTGCTAAAATCAAGGCGCCTCCGTAAAGACACACAAGCCTGTATTGACAGAAAGGGCTCTCTTCATCCTTAATTTCTCAGGGAATGGTCAACCTTGCACCATGGTCGTGATGCAACGGGCAGTGATTTACGTCCAGCAGAGACCAGAATCACGCAGAAATGTCACATAGCCTCAGAAAAGCAGTGTCAAAGTTATAAGATATGGAGTGGGGCCTGGAATAGCAAATCATCTACTTTCTAAAGCAGTGCTTACACATGCATGTTTTCGAGGTTTCAACACTAGCTGTAAAGCTGTAATTATGTTAAATTATTGCAAATTTATGAGTGTTTCATCTAGGACCATCTTGCCGAGAAAGGAAATACCACAGCCCTAATCTGCCTATAAATTCCTGCCCCTCCTTCTCTGCACTTTTTGGCCTGTATTCTTCAGCTCATTTATAGCAGGGATTGGGCAAACCTATTTGCAAAACACATTTATTGAAAGTTGTGCAAACTTTTTAAGAGGGAATGGGGCTGAGGAAACAGGGAAGCTCCCTGGCATCCTGCTAGCAAAACTAATTCTCTCAAGATCTCATCCTTCGAGGCCTCTTTCAAACCCAAGGTCCCTAGGACTGCATAATTCATAAAAGTCTAGCTACATTTTTTCAGGATTATCCTCACTTATATATTCATATTCATAAATGCATTAAAAGGATTTTTTGCTAAATCCTTCAATATAGGGGCAGCGGGATATACAAATCTACGCTATCATGGTGCAAACATCACTTTAAGTACTTGTTTTAGCCATTGCAAGAACTCTGTGCTGTCCCAGAACGAAATTAAGTCCACGCAAAATACGAATCCATCAGAACCCCTATATCAGTGTCTCCTCACATCTGCACATTCTGCAATACCAAAACCTGACAAGTTTCTACTTCGCGTTTGCCCTCAGAGGCCTCTGTAGGCCCTAAGAAAATTTACACAGTATCATAAATGTAAACTTAAAAGCACTTTATCTGCAAAAATACTGAAATCACAACAAATGCCCCCTAAAACAACCTAAAGATAACCTACAGCAAATAGTATTTACAGGCAATTATAGGCTCAATACAGAATATCTTTTATCTGGAGTTATTGTATTTTAGAAAGCAATTTCTCCAATAAATTTGAGCATAGAGACAAAAGGGTAAAACAAATAATGCTATAAGTAATTCAAGCTGTAACAGAACTCGGTCTTAAAGAAATGCTATACATGGTATAAGGTATAAAAACATCTGGAACACACTACAGTGAGTTGGAAGGGAGAAAAGTTTAGAATAAGGAAGGAAAAGTGCTTTAAAAAAAAGCAAAGTAGCAAATATCATCTTCAGCTTTTGACAAGGTGACCAACACGATTTGCACAGTGTTGAGAAACCCTTTCTCTTCTGTTTGTACTTGAAATGAGTGCAAGATTTACTAACTGCACGGATCTTTTCAAATGTTAAAATGTTCTCTCTCAAACAAATGAGGACTTTTGACTCTGCTAGTTTCTACGAGACAAAGGACAGTAGAAACAAATTAGTGTGATCCTCAGAGGAAAGAAGAAAATTTTTGAAATGAGAAATGTGACTATCCATAAAAAGCTTGCTTAAAATCATGACTGGCAAACATGGAAAAAAAATGAGGCTGAAAAGTGAGGTGGAATGGGAGGTTTTAGTGCACTACCTAGACTGTGCAGCACATGAAGAAAATATAAAAGTAGCTTAAAAACACAAACTCTGTCAGATGACATCATTAAACACGCAGCACTTTATATTTCAAAGTAGTTGGAAGGATAGTTAAAGTGTCGTAGACCAAGTTTTTAATTTCTGGAATCACCCCAGGCAGCTCCAGGGCAGGTTGTAGCTCAGAATTAAAAGGAATTCAGGAAGAAAGGACTGATTCAGGTGCTATCACAGTATTGTAAGTGTCAACAAGAGAAATAAATCTGAATAAAATCCAGCAAGTTTCCATTCAAGTTATGCTATGTATTATCTATCAACAAAAACTAAGTCAGAGCCCAGAGAAGGTCCAGGTTTGTGTCGCTGCTTTTTCAAAATGCAGGTCTCCAGAAAATGCAGCTGCACAAATTAAGCTCTTTGGGCTGCTGACTTGCATCTCGTGCCATTTTTGCTTCCAGTGTATGACCAGGAGGACAGAGTAGCAATTGAATTTTCACTTCCACCAGCTGTTTTTAATGTCTTCCACTTTTGAGTTCACAGTAATGACACGTTGGAGCTCAAGAAATGAGGAATCCTCTTTTCATTTGGTAGTTTAGAATGATCCCAGGGGAGAAAACAGAGCCATCCCAGTTGGAATGTGGCCATACATGCACACTAAGCTCCCTACTTTCTAATGAGCATAGAGGCATCAAAGTAAAATTCCCGGTACCCGCAGAACAGGACACAAGATCTACTTCCACATCTTGTAATTCCTCAGGTCATCCTGTAATTCCTCAGGTCTCCCTTCCAAACACTAAGCAAACTTTGATATCATTTAGCTGGGCATTAATTGAAGCTGCAACCAAGGTGATTAAGTTGCAACTTATAGCCACTACGTTCTTATTAAGAAAATGGGACAAATATTTGAGCTATTCGAGCACAAAGAGTTAAATAATTACTGAACTGTATAAGCTATACAGGAAAGCCTACAGAACAGCTTCATAAAAATGGGCATAGATTAATAACAATTTAAATGAACAGGTTATTAGAGTGACTATCAGATCTCCCGCTGTTTAACATAAAACACGGCAGCTAAACAGCAAGTCTGGGCAAGTCACAAGAACTATAAAATTAAAAAAGACAGATAAAACACCATGGAGAAATGAGATAGTGTAAAAACACATTACAAAGGAATAATATATTAAACACAGCTCTGCTTCGCTGCTGGCAAATATAACTGAAATGCATCTTGGCACTCTATTAAGGAGAAATCCCAAGGGACAAACCAGCAGGGTTCAAATTAGAGCAATCAAGAGCACTAAAAGGAGAGGAAAGCTCTAAAAACGGACTAAATGTCCAAAAACCAGACAAGGAGCTTCCAGGCCTTTGAGGCTGCTTCTCTCTGGTTGGGCCATCGTTTCTCCAGAAAACACGATTTTATGCTGATGTTTTTCTAAACAAAAATTGCACAGGTAAACCATTTAAGTGCTTAGTGGATGGGGGACAGGTAACGAGGTAATTTGAGGGGGAAAAAGATGATTAATTATTAAAACCGGAATTTGATTTTTATTCCCAGTGCCAGCTCATGAGAGGTTCCAACATGCTGTGTCAAGTCATACTTTTTGATTTACAGCCTTATGCACTTTATATTACGGTGCAGAATTCATTCTCATAACATCAGTTCAGCTAATATTTCT